CCACAAACGATGAAGATGAAGAACAGCATGTGATGGTGGGCATGTAGAGGTGATGAAGAAGTGTCTTTTAAATTCCCGCATTACAAATGAATTCAGTTGCTTTATGTATAGATATATTTTTCTTTTTTGTGTGTGTTTTTATTATCTTATTCTTTTCAAGGTTTTTTGTTTGTTTAGAAATCTAACACCTTTAAAATATTACCTACATTACCTAATGAATTCAACCCTTCCTTTGAAGAAGTGAATTAATTTAAAAAGTAAGGCACCGTTCCATTCATGGCCTATCCCCTTAGGTGAGTTGCGCCAAGTTGTTGAGGAACCAATCAAGCAACAAACAATGCTGTCCTGTGTTTTTCAGCATGTACACCGTGTCACGTTTCCCAAATTATACGCATTCAGGACATATAGTACACGTGCCCATAAAGCTTGGTTGTTTTCCTTTTTTCAGGCATTTTCTCTTAGCTCTCGTGAACAGCTTCTATATCAAAGCGGAGTTCACAATCCCAATCAACCCCCTTCGCCAATGTGAGGCTTGATTGACGTATTATGAGCTGGTTGGTTGACGTGCAGATCCTGAAATGTGAAGGGTACCTGTATAGAAAATAGACGAGCCAATAAAGCCGAAAGGAGCTCAGTCTTCTCTGTCCTCCTATATATTGCTCCTATCTGTCTTGCTATAATCTTCTTACTTCAAATTTCATCTGTATAGAGCGAGCAAATCTGCAACTACACCATTCTTGTGTTATCACACACTAACGGCTTTGTTTGCTGAGGAATTCACCGTTGCCAGATCACGTGTCAGGCGCTATCTCTTACGACTCAACTCAGCACGTTCTCATCAGGGGGATTTAGCTTTGACGTGCATGGGGCTGCTTAAGAGTTAAAATGTGGAGGCGCGCTCACGTATGCACACAACGCAGCCATCAAGCTGCACTGAAGCTATCAGCACTTTCCGAAAGACAGCGAATGTTCGCCGGCAGCGCATACCCGAGGTAATTGCGTGTGTCATAAAAACGCATACCTTTTAGGCATACACAATGTCTACGTTAACCGCGTTTCTTTTGTTTCCCAATCTACGCAATTCGACAAAGCCGTAGAGGAAGTTCCCACGCTCCATAGAGCCGCGGGCAACACACAAGGAACCAACTTGATTCCTTACCACGCCACGTCTCTCGCAAGCGCGCTTGGAAAAGCGCTCGCCAATTGTAATTGTTTCGCGCGACGTCCTGGGTGAACTGTACTCCGTCTCGCGTAGTGTGTCGTTTATCCGTTTGTCGCCGGCGTACGTTCCGACTGTACACTTCGTTCGCTTCACAAAACGTACGGTCGCGAATGAGCTCGCAGAATACGTCGGGACGCTGTTCAAATACAAACGAACTCGACCTTGAAGGTATACGATGTCTCTTTGTTATTCAAATGCTTTTTGTTATTCGAAGCATTTTCCTTCCATGTTCACCAGGCTGCAGTTGCCCTAATTTGCTTGCTTGCGCAATGACGGCTCCAACCGCTCTGCGCGCCTTGTTAAGGTCCGAAGCTGTGTAGTGAAGTAATCACCACGTGATCTTATCTGATGAAACTTAATTTTTTTTTCACCTCGCGTGTAAGAATAAATAAGGCGATCCCAACTCTTACTGCTAACTTAATACCAGCGTCCATGTCCGTGCAGTGATGAAGGGGTGACTCAACACGCGAGAAAGGATGCAATTCCACTGTTGTCTAAGTGAAAGTTTGACACTAATTACAATCATGAAACTGTAATACACCTAAAGCACCAATGTGAACCGTGAGTGACACGACAAAACGTTAGAAATCGATAACGCACAGGGGAGGCCCAGCGAATTGTGCATGTTGGGCGTGCAAGGTCGTGGAACGATTTCCAGGCTGGACAGCGGCATTCCTATGGAAGGTATGTATGCAAAAGCGCCCAGGTACTTGTATTTCAGAGCACGTTTAACGCTCGCTAAACAACCACAGGTGGTCGAGATCACATAGCATTTGGGTTGCCTGTCCACGCTCATTATATATGCAAATTTCGGTTACTTGTTTTCTCCGAGTCAATTCGAGTGTACGCTGTAGTCACGGTTCTCGTATAATTCTTGCTTGTTCGTCATTCTTATTTCCGTGTCTAAACTGTTGTAGCTTTCAAAGTGCTGCTGTTGTGCTCGCGAGTCATTTTGCTTGACAGTATACTCTCAGGTTGACCAAAGTGGCACTCTCATTCAAATGCGTGCCTTTCGTGAAAAACGCGAAGTAGAAATCGATATGCTATTGCTGAGAACCCCATGTACTTACATTTCCGTGCACGGTCGAGAACGCCATGGGTGGTAGAAATTTCCGGAGTATTTCGCTGCGCCTTTCATGTCATATCACGTCCTCACAAACCGTGTTTGTTGTTGCGTTGGGTTAACGCTATAGTGGCATAACTGAAGTGTGATGACGACGATAAGCTGCAGCTGCACGGCATTCCGTTTATTGCACTTCGTGTTTTGTTACACTTGTATGGTCGAGTGCCCTGTCACGGTACGAACAACTTTATTTAATAATCCAGAGAAGTGCCACCTCTTAGGGCGACATCGCGGGCCACTCCCACGTGTTTGTGATATTTACAGCACCAGCATCGTGTTTCAAAAAAATGACAGTAATGCTTCTGTTCTATTAACGCTATCCCTTTCTCTGCTCATGTGAGTGTGTTTTGGTATTAGTGGCAAGTAACAGGCGGTCAGCTTACGCTTGAATGCGTGTGGCTCGAAGACACAGTTCTCTCAGTGCCCTCAATACGATGCAGAGGGCTTGAAGATGAGGCAGGAGCTAGCAGGACAGCGTCGGGGCCGATCGGTGTGTCGGCGTTACTCAGAGCCGCAATAAATCGATAACAGACGAGCATTGCTTGCTTATTTTCGCACGTGGCCACACCTCCGCACGCCCAACCCTGCGTGCGTCGCACAAGCCCTGCATGATGCTGTGGGAGTGGCGTGGTTTCTTGGCCCGTCCTGTTTTGTACACGGCGTCCTTCTTCGATGCTTCATTGCAGTGCGAATCGGGGTACACTAACAAGCAAAAAATTAAAGCAAGCGATGTCTTCTTTCTTTTTTTCTCCTTGTGCCTACAAGGCGACTGCAACACGCACTATACGAGAGAAAAAAAAAACGGTGCAAAGTTATGAAAGTACACACAGATGCAGAAGGCACAACAGTGCCGCCTTCTTCGTCTTGTGTGTCCTGTCAGAATTGCGCACGGTTTTTCTCTGTCGTCAGCATGAACCAATTAGACCCAAGCCTCGACGCAAACACACAGTAGCTTGCTGCAAGCCCGAACGGAATAAATATGTTAGGGATGTTCTCCCGTAGTTGATACTGCTTTTGTTAAAGATACGTGCTATAGGTATGAATTTATGTTCGGGAACACGACTGCGGTAGTTTACCGTGGCTGGTGGTGCCTTTTTGAGACACCAGCTTATTCTGTACTCGTGGATGCTGGCCCGTATTTGCAAAAGCATCTTACGCTGAAATTGTTTGTAAGAGAATACTACAGGCAGTCCTGCATGGCGGTATATACATATATTTAGAGAAGGGGGCTGACCAATGAAAAAGAGCGCCCTGTGAAAGAGACGCTCTGGAAATTTGGTCAGTGAAGAAGAAGAACTTTATCAATTATGTCCAGCGAAGCTGATTTGGGACGGGCCTCCGCCACGGCCTATAGGCGTCGGCCGCGCGAGCCCTAGGGCTCGGTTTTTTGGAAAATTTAGATAATAAGCAAGGACAAAGGTGAGGCTGATATAGATAAGCAGCTAATGAAGATTTATGCCATTAGTCAGTGGTGAACCTTCGCACTCATGAAATGAATTTTGACAGAACTCCTGCATTGTAAATACACAAGTTAACCGGATGACCTAAATCAATAAAATTTAGATAATAGGCATCTTATCTCATAATGCTATTCACTAATTCGTATATATGTAGGATCAAACCATTAATAGAGTGCCTGTCGAGTGTCTATACAGCATCTAGCACGGGTGACTGTCTGGAAGCAAGGAAAAAAAGTGCTTTTATTGCGAGTCAATAATATACTATAACAACGCTCTAGCGTTTCAGACCGTTCATGAGCGGATTTCCCGAAAAGGAAACGTGTTTAAATCTCTTTATGAATCGTTTCTTTTTTTACGAAGTAGAATTGTTGTTTGGAGAAGTTCGTCTTACGAAATGTAATATTGTGTAAAAACTTTTTTAACATTGGGTCCAAGTGCAGTATTCAATATTAATGGTACTTGGTCTTTCTAGCGCTATTTCTTCTTACCTCGCCCTACTGGAGACGTTAAATCTTACGATATTTTTTTTTTCTTTCCTAATACACATACGATTGGTGTAGTACCACTATGTGCTATTGACTGATGTATTGCGCCATTACGAGGTGTTAATACTGAGCCACCAGCGCAAGGATCTGACGGCTATCTTACCGGATGATCACCAAGCTTGTAGTTTCCTCAGTCATGAATGACGTAAGAAAGCCTCCCTGATGCAGAACTGGTACGTTGCATAAAACTACTTTCTCAAAACACGTGACCGCCCAGAGCCATTCATTACTTTCTTCGCTGATATCAATCCGCCCGAGAACAGTCAGTCTTCAGACACAGCTGCTTCAAGCCCTCACTTCGTGGTTACTTGCATATCCCGATTGGGCGACGTAATTAAGTAATTAGAATTAAACGCCGCTTCAATTCGCCTGATACTGAGCAGGCCAGACAATCGTCCATTTACAAGATGCGGCGTGTATACGATAGCATTCCGAGGGAGGGTGGCGTCGCAGTGGAGAGCAATGTAGGTTAGCCGTTCCTTTCCCCTTCGCGCTTCCTCTTCGCTCGAGTTTTGCTCTGGGCGCTTTTGTCTCGCCTCGCTTCCCTTGCCCGCCGGCTAATGCCCTCTCTGACGCTGCACCCTTCCTCCGCCGTCGTGCCTCGCTCGTACCGCTTCGCCGTCAAGGTGCCGTTAGTCGTTTGGAATACCCTCATGACGACGGCGCGGATGGGATTCCTTGGCGGCTCGGTGAGTTGCGCGTTGCGACCGGCGTACGTGCGTGTTTTTTAGACGTGTGCCGGCTGTCGAAAGTGTTGATGTTTCCGATGTCCAGTGGGCCACTAGTGTCTAGACTACTGGAGTCACTACAGCGCACCTTGTCTATTTCTCACTGGTAATTCAGTAAATATAAGCACCGACAGTTTGCGTTTGCTATCCGTAAGGCTCTGTGTGATCTTCAGAGTTAGCTGGTTGGATTCCGATGGAGGCAAAACGCTAGATATTTAAAACAACAACGAGGTAATCTAGTTGGCATCTGTTCTTGTTAAGATTTGGATGTTTATATTTAGGCGCACGTTAAGAACTCCGGGTGATCGAAATTTCCTGTTCCCTCCAGTACGACGTCTCTTATTATCCCATCGTGGTGTTGGCACTTAAAACCACAACAATTACAGTATTAGTTCGTTAGATTTAACCCCCCAAAACGGATGACACTATGAGACACGTCGTAGTGGAGGGCGTCGGACAATTTCAACCACCTGAAATTCTTTAACGAACAATTGCTTCGTATAGTACACCAGTCAGTAGCGTTCCGCCTTCAACCAAATGTGACCGCTAAACGGTTGGAATCGAATCCGTATTTTTCGAGTCAGGAGCCACGCACCATAGCCACAGAGCTATCGCGGTGTCAATATGGTTCAAAAAGTCGCTGAATACTGATATAGCCAGAACTTGCTATTTGCGAAACTAGGAAACACAAATGTGCTTTGATGGTATGCATTCACCCGAAGACCACAGCGAGTCGAAATCGAACGCGTCCCCTTGTGATCAACTCCAGCAAGTATTTAGATTTAAGATAGTGCCCCTATTTCACGAGAGAATGCGTTTTTACTGCTTTTTATTGAAGTGGAAAATAAACGAAACAGCAGTTGTCACCGTTACATGGCGGTAGCTACCCCTCTCCACTTGATCGTTACGAAAAAAAAAAGACTTTAAATATAGCATATATACATATATGTGGTCCTACACAGGCCAGTCCAAAAAGTCTCATTTGGTAGAACTGTTTCGTTTCTTTCTGGTGTACAGGGCTATTGTGTCCTGTGCATATATCCTAATGTTACTATAGTGGGGTAATAACAACATAATTATTGCACCACAAAGTGGTCGACGAGAACTCGTAGCAAGACTATTCGCAGGCGGGGATAGTAAAACTTCACGACACAGCGCTGAGCACAATGCCTAAAAAATCGCCGAAGAGCCGGATGCATGTGATCATGATGCCATTAACCAGGTTCGTCTTTAGTTGAATGTTTTTCGTCATACTATACCAGTCATTATCTTTTTCATTGTTTCTTTCCTTCAGTTAAGTGGAAATGTTGCGTCATACACTTGCCCTTTTATACCTCGCACCCTTTTTTTAACATGCCAGTGAGACTGCCTTATGTCCACGAATACTTTTGTTTGGGCGGACACATCTTATCTCGACACGTGCATTGGGAATTTGAATAGCTCGTCTCGCTTCAGTGTCTAAATCACTCCCTAATCAGCTGCTATTTTCTTGAAATATACACTCAAGGCGCTTATGTTCATCTCATTACCTACAAAAATATTTCTTCGTCCTTTTCCATTAAGCAAAATCTGAAGATATTCGATGCGGCTTTCTGTATTACCTTATGGACGAGCCTTAAAGACGCAAGTTCATGTTGCGTGGATTCGAATTAACTGTTCATTCTTCTTTTTCCTACTCTTGTTCTTTCTTCTCTGTCCTTTCTACAATTCCCGCTTTCCGATAATATTCGGCAACATTCGCTGCATCAATGTTGGCAAATTTGTACGTTTATTCTATCTATCTATCTATCTATCTATCTATCTATCTATCTATCTATCTATCTATCTATCTATCTATCTATCTATCTATCTATCTATCTATCTATCTATCTATCTATCTATCTATCTATCTATCTATCTATCTATTCGTTTGGCTCACAACCCCACTGCTTGTTCTCAATGCCTGATCAGATGCCCTTCTAGTTCTTCCAAACGAACTTTTATAATGACTCGTTACAGTGCACGTGACAAAATCCCCAAACAACAATGGAAATATGTTTCCACATGTAGTGTGCCTATGTGTGTCAGTCGTCCGTATAGCTTCGAGAACTGCCAGGCCCCGGTCAATTTTCATTCCATTCCACTTGCGGTCTCGGTGTGTTTATACCATCTTGTGGCCTTGCGTAGCCTCGGCTGTCAACTGCCCACGCCCACCAGCATCCAGCGGCGGCTAAGAGCATACACTTGTCTCACGAGTGATTGTTGCTTGGCGCGCACAAGGGCGAACTACGCATTTTCACGATAGCGTGGCTGCCTAGGAGTCGAAGGGGGAGCTTTCTTTCTCCCTTCCCCGATGCTCACTGCATCAGTTTATTTATATATTTGTTTGCTTGTTTGTTTGCAAGCTTGATTCGAAAGCAATATCAACGTACCTACATGTCGCTGGCTGTATTATTCTTCCTATGAAATACCTAATGCTTACATTCGTCTACTTACTCATTTTTACAGCTCTGATAGTCTTACACGCTATGTTAAAGTGCCACTAAGTATGCCGCGCACATACATTGTATGACATCAGCTGCATAATGATCTAAATGCCTTATGAAATTTCGAAATAGTGCGAAGCACTACTACTTTATTTAGATGTGCACAATTAGAGTACCGACTCAAAATGTTCATATAAACTATGCTTTTTTTTCTTTTTGCACAAAAAGATCGCATGGTGCATGCGCATCCACCAATCGTGCCGATGTACGGCGGGAAATAACTGCAACCTCAAGAAACCTGGTTCAAATCTACTGTATGAAACGACATTCGGGCATGTAATTTGCTTGACTCTCCCCAGCGGTATTGGGCAGAAAGGAAATCGGTATTTCAGTATAACACCAGCAGTGACAATTTCTCTCGTTATTGTAAGATTTAATAATGAGGGCATAACGAAACGAGGTATCCATCTTGGACCACATGAATCGGTATCAACCTCATGGTGGCGTATAAATTTCAGTTTCTGTGAAGTCATAGCGGCCTAGCAGAAAAAAAAAATAACCTCAGAGCAATGAGAAGAGTGGTTCCCGGAAAAAATAACGCTATATTGTCTGCGCGAAAGACTTCATTGCCTCTAAAACAGTACAAGGCAGAGATTTCAGCATGCTTGATATGTGGGGTTTAACGTCCCAAAACCACCGTATGATTATGAGAGATGCCGTAGTGGAGGGCTCCGGAAATTTCGACCACTTGGGGTTCTTTAACGTGCACACAAATCTGAGCACACGGGCCTACAACATTTCCGCCTCCATCGAAAATGCAGCCGCCGCAGCCGGGATTTGAACCCGCGACCTGCGGGTCTGCAGCCGAGTACCTTAGCCACAAGACCACCGCGGCGGGGCGATATTTCAGCATGAGCAACAGTGGTGTAACAAGAGGGTATTTGGAAGCAGATGTTCTCAAATGGGTAAATGTGTTTGTGAGGGTAACTGTACCGACGAAGGCGGATTTTCTTTTCAAAACATCGGCTCCAGTGACATATATTTCTTTATTCTAAACACTACATATAGGCCATTGTACTGAACTGTTTTATCTAATCAAGCAAAGATAATCATTTTTACGTCTAATCTCTGTGTGTAATACTGATAACTCATATGGCTTCGTTGAACATTGGTACAGGGTGCACCTGTGAGAAGGCAAGACGTTTAGTACGTCTTACCAATGCGCTATAGGGCTCTATCGTACGGTAACGTGCACAACCCCACAGGTAGATGCGGTGCTCCATATTTTGGTCTGGTTCACTGGTTCCTTTTTTCCACACGTAACGGTCATTCAACATTGCCTATACATGACTCATTGAAGATCATACTACGGCCATAACTGAGCACCTCTCGCCTATCCGAACATCGCCTACGTTCGATTACGGACGGAGCAGCACTTCCAAGATATCAACGCTGTGCCGGTTAGATTGTTATCGCAGGTTCGCTGTGAAGCGTGCGGAGCACGCGATTGAAGCACGTCTCGAACATCAAAGACGAAAGCCGAGATTGCGCAGACTCGTACTAATTGCCGCTTCATCGGTGGAAGACTACGTATACTAATGCGACGCACGTGCTGTGTGTTTTCGTGACGACGCTCTGTAAACGTGGCCCGTACACGGCAGCAGCTCCTATACTTCTCAACGCTGAGATTGCATCTCAAATGCTCCTGCACATGGCGTGCGCCGTGATGAAGATGAGATGGCTTCGCTCGATAAGATGTCATACCCTCGTGGCTACGGCGTCCATCTCCGTCCCGTTACCTGTTGTGGTGTTCTCAATTATAGGCTGTACTCATTTCGCTATTTAAATACTGTTGCCTCAACACTGCTTTGTTGTGTGCCGGTACTTTCAAAGAATTATCGGGTGAACTAAAATTTAAATATTATCGTTGTAATCTTATCCCTACTAACTCAAAGCTCAGTGTTGCTCATCTATCATTTCACTTCCACACACATAAATAACCACTCTCAATGCCGTATATTGAACAGCATTTTGCTATTGTTACCAATGCAGCCTTTCCCAGCTCTGTCGATTATTGTCCCGCTGTCTACAAAGAAGTGCTTTTTAAAGATAAATGCTAAGTATCTGTCTTAGAAACTGGGAGTTCTGCTAGCTTTTCTGAAAAACTCAAGTAATGGTGCCATCGTTCTTACAACTTCCCGGTTGCCAAAGATATGGAGAAACGCGGAAACTGGGTCACCATATCTATTTTTTTTGTTCTGAAATCAGATAGAAATGAATAATTAGTTAAGACAATAGCTTAGAAGAGGCCCAAAAGATGCTATCGTTAACAGCATCAACCAGGGGGGGCTGGCGCTGTCTCGTTCTTGGCATTAACGATAATATTTCTTTCCATCCTGCATACTTACCAGAGTGCGATCCACAGCCGCCTGAGCAGCACGCAGCGGCGATATTGAGCAAAATGATGAGAGTTGGCGGTTCTGATCAGTTAGCGGC